AGTGATATTGCTTAAAATTGTTATTTGGTTTTACTAGACCGAGAATTATATAAAAATTGTCAAAAACCTAATATAATTAATTTTGTTAATCTCAGAACTCAGTTTATTGTAAAATTTGTTAAGTTTGTGTTCATAAGCACTATTTCGCAAAAATAAAAGTAAACAAGATAATAGTGGAAAATCTTCAAGAACATTTAGGGAAGTACATTGAAGTAGTGCCAAATAAACATGATATTATTATTGAATAATGGGTTTATTAAATTGAATTTATTTCCACTTTCATATTAGAGTTGGTGGGTGGCTAGAAACGTGATTCTTCTGTATACCGTTGTTATATTCTTTTGCTAAACAAATATTTTTATGATTTATAATTCTAAAAAAAAAAAAATAGTTATATAAAATAATTCAAACTTAGAGTCGTTTTAAGTAAAATTTTTATGTAAATTGTTAATTAGTTCGGACTATATCATAACCCGTATGTACAATTTGATATTTAAAATATTTTAAATTCATTTTATTGATACTATTCCCGACACATTTTCGACATTAATTGAGACGCTTGAGAACGCCCTTAAAAAAGCTATTCAAGTTCATGAATACAGTCGACTCTATAACGAATTGGTAGTTATAGCAAAAAATTTTTAGAGTAATTTTCTGTTTCTGTACCGAACTCTATGATAAACTTTTTTATTAATTTCTGTTATTATCGTAAAAAGAAAGGTGCATAAAAAATAAAATAAATAGCAAAACAGCGAACAGCACATGTCTACCGTAAATTCTCGGCATGGGCGCTATTTCAAATTTTGGCTCGAATTAAACTTAATTTGGCCAAAATTCGAAATAACGCCCATCGGTAGTTTTTTCGTCGCCTGTTTGAAGTAGTATTACAAAGTATTACACATGATTCCAATTTGATTGGTTCATAGAAAATTTGGAGGCTTTCTTGGGAACATGTGACGAAACACAGTATATGTTATATATTTGATGACGCCAAAGGCAATAATATAAGTTTAATATAATTGAAGTCCCATTTTTCCTTGGCATCGCTCATTTTCGACATCATGTATTATGTGCGCACATATGAATTCCAAAATGTAAAGTTAAATTTTAACGTTAACAGTGTCAGTTCAGTATAGTAAGCGTTAACTTTCGGAGAACTTTTTTTCAAAATATCCGGTTCGTTGTAAAGTTGATGTAGCTCTGATAAAAATTTAATTCGAATTTATATCCTGGCCTCTATATCAAGATCGCAGGGTATGTAATAGCTATATCCTGGGTAGTTGGGTATGAAATTCCCGTTTATACCCAACTACCCAGGATATGGCTATTACATATCGCATTTATTTAGAGCATTTTGCTTTATTATAATCATCGAAATTAGTACTTTATTTTTAAAAAAAAAAGCTTGTGAAAATATTCATATGATAACACGAAAATATGATCACTATGACATATTGCACGTCTTATATTCTAGTCTAGAGATGGGCAAAGTAATTTTGTAAGTAATAATGACCTATGACTTATCCCTTACTTAATATTAAGTAATATTAAATAATTATTACATTTAATTATCTATTACGTGTACATATAAACATCGGAGACGGGTGATCAAAATTGAGATTGAACGAAAAGTTGGTACTAATGATAAAATTATTGTAAAATTACTTAATAATACTTATTCAAGATAATATTAAGTAATATTAAGTAACTGACTTTGCCCATCTCTATTCTAGTCACTCCAATTCAGATTCAAATTCGTCTAAATTACGTAAACTTTTTTTATAATGAAGTAAATATTTAAAAAAAGTTTTCTATAGGTTAACACTTACCATACTGAACTAGTATAAAAATTTAATCATTCACCGTTACAGCTTGTTAGTCCACTCTAAGCAAAATAAACCTTGCATTGACTAATTATTTATTAGATCAAAAAAGAATATTCTTTAATTCTAGCATACGCAATCATTTGTAATAATTGCAGATATGAATTGTTGGCTTCAATTTTAATTTTTTACAGTGCGTTGACATATCGTATTTGAAGAGAGCTAATAATTAACATATTCGCAGATATGATTTAACCGAATGCCAAATCTACAAATCAACAATTTTTTGCTCTTCGGCTAAATTAATCTTCAAATTACGTGTTCTGAATAACACGCTCATGGACGTTATTTCGCGCAAATATGTTAGTTTGGAAATTCACCCCATTATCACATTCAAAATGATTAAATAAGAACTTGTATTTGAAATACTGTATTACTAATATCTGGAATTTGGTAGTATTAAGATTTATGTAGTTACTTTTTCTTGATGTATTAAAATATTTTTTATATACAACAGCATTTTAGACCAGCTTAATTTTAAGTTACAGTATATACTGTAGTATATATACTGTATATATACTTTTAAATACATCTAATCCATACCATATATATACTTTTAAATACATCTAATCTATACCATAGAGCACAGTTTTTGATGCTTACATAATCGATTTTGATTGACTAATTTTTTGTTGCAATTGATTCCGATTGGTTAACTAAGGGCGTCTCAATTAATGGATCAAAGTATGCCGAAAATGTGTCGAAGTATTTTTAATCGAGATAAGTAAAGGTAGTTTAATGCGTGAAAGAAAGAAAGGTTTAAAATGATCAGTGAGCTTATCATTTCAGTCAAAAAACATTTTGCCCGAGCCTCCTTTTTTTTGCGCTGACTTATCAAAACTTTTATAAATATTAAAATGAATAAAGTATTGCTCAAGGTTTTCATATTTTTTTTTATGGATTTCATTATCGACACATTTTTGTAAAATTTTCGATAAATTATTTAGGGCACCTAAATTAATAGATCGGAGCTCAATTTTTAATAGTAGAAAAATAGTTCAGCCGGTCAAGCGAGCCCATCATTGCAATGAAAAAAAAAGATGATCCCGACCATTTTTTTTTAAATCATAGAGCTGTACCGATTGGCTAAAATCTATTATCGCATTTCGCGCCATAAATCTTCAGCAAAATTGTTATAAAGATTACATCAATTAATCATAGTGCTTGTGCACGATCTCGAATCTCATCGAGAAATATGCTAGAGAATTCCCTTAAGCAGTGATTGTCACTACAATTATAGAAAATCATAGTAATAGTAATGTCGTCATTATATTATTGACTTTTATTCAAAATGGTATGACTAGCTAAAATTAATAGCTAAAAAAATGACTGGCTATATAGATTCCGTAAATGAAAATCTGTCACTAAATTCCCCACCACTTCTGATTCGTTCTTCTAATTATACACACATCGGAGCATCTGTGCTATTAATCAATTTTATAGTACTCCGATTGTGAAGTGGGGAAAATCAGTAAACCCGAACCTAGCATAACCACAAAAATCAGTTACTTACGGTTAAAAATCATTTATCAAAAAATTTATTAAAAATATATAATGTAATGTATTAGTCATTTATGTTAATATGACAACTTCTCTTTATTATAACATAGTACAACTATTATTTAAAAATTTAATATTGTGTGAATACTGTATCATGAATGCTTGAATACTCGATTACATTGGCACAATAATCACATTGATCAAAATCGATTCCAAATTATGTACGTACAGTACGTACAGTAATTGTTATTATTGTGTTAATGTAATCGAGTATTCGAGTATTCGTGATATTCACAAAAAACTTTTTTGCAACCATTTCGAAAACAGCGATAATGGAAGCCGGTTATTTAACCCAATCGAATTCAAAATATTGTTCATTCTGTCGAGTAATACGTAAAACAAAATTAATGAATTTGAAATAATAAAAAAGCATGTATTGAATGCTTAACCCGCATAAATAAAGCAAGAAAAAAAAATGGAAACTTTAAGAGTAGGATATAGATGATGTTTGTTAAATGCTATAGAATCTGAAGATCTCAAAGAAATAATCTATAAAAACTTATGAATAATGGCGAAGGAGGATCTTAATGTAATTATATATTTTTTTAAATCGAGTTTGGCGAAATTAGAAAAACAGTATCGATAAATCTCATTCAAACTTAATAGCAATTGAGGTAAAGCTCTGTGAGAAAGGTGATAGAAACATATATAAATAATTTCAATTTAGTACAACGAAATTCATTTTATCCAGTAATTGAAAAAGTGAAAAAACCATGTGAGAGAATCACTAACAAAGTTTTTGATATCGATAATATTGCAGAAGACAACGAATTAAATAAAGATGAAACTGATTGAAAATTATTGAGCAGTGTAAAAAAAAAACTCTTTATAGGTATCTGATATGACTTCTGCAACAAATGATCGAAAAACATTGAACCCAATTCATAAGATGATAGATGACGTAAAAAAATCTGAATCAAGCAAAAGCTTTCCAAAAACCTGGTATAAACAAAATAAAAATACTTTATATCGAATAAATTCGAACTTCATAAGTATTTCATGTTATAATATGAGTGCCGCCAAGGGAAAACCTACAAGTAGTATTTTTTGAATATTTACTTTTAATAAAAATATCTTAAAATCAGGCAATTTAATACCTATAACTTTAATATCATTTGAACCATCTTAATGATAATATTAAGAATAGTAGGTATTAAATTGCCTGATTTTAACCGTTATTATAAGTTAATATTCTAAAAGTACGACTTGTGGGTTTTCCCTTGGCAACACTCATATGTAAATTTGGATAAAATTCACTGAATAATTTCAAATGAACATGATTTATTATTCATTTTTTTGCGCAATAAAAATTTTATCGTAATAATTAAAATTTTATAAAATCGATGTATGATGTGAGATCTGGCTAAATATCAGATTTTAATAGTGATTGCATACCTAATTTTGGTGATTATTCTAGGGAGATTCTGATGTTACTTTAGGGCCGAATATGTGGAGGGGGCGTACATCATTCGTGTAGTGTCAAACTTTCTCAGCCGCTGTTCTACTATGAAAACACCAACCTTATGGTAGCATTTTAGATAATTCTCTATAAAAAGTATGAATTTTATAAGTTTTGTCAGGATTGAAGAAGTTTCAGAGGCATCTCAATGTCAGATGGACGATTCTGGGGAAGTCAGAATTGGTTGCAAGCTTGATTTTCACGTGAAGCGCTGATGAAATAGATATAAGGTAGATGCGCCTAATTCGATGATATTGTCGATCAGAATCACATGATTTTAGTTCGTCTCGTCGAGACGAATTGAATGGTACCAATTCTGATATTTAGCTAAAATAACTCAAAATAGATGTCCAATTTGACGCAGGTAATGTTTTACAATTAATATCACGGGACATGTCAAACAGAATCGGACAATTTTAGTACCATTCGATTAATCTCGTCAAGAAGAATTGAATGGAACAAAATCACGCGATTTTTGATCGATATATCCCGTGATATTTATTGTAAAACATTACTTTGCGTCAAATTAGGTACGTGTCGTATCAAATTAGGGCCATATTTTTTTAGGAAAACTTTAATGAGCGATATCTAGTAATCTAGTGATTAGAATTGGTTGATTTTGATACCATTCGATTCGTCTCATCGAGACGAATCGAATGGTACCAAAATTAACCAGTTCTGATCGATACATCGCGTGATATCTATCATAAACGTTACCTGCGTCAAAATAGATACATCTCGATCTACTTTATAAATCGATCATCGTTATAATTCCTATTCTGTCACTTGCACTTTCTTGCTCCTTTCTTATTCTGTTACTTAACCTTCCTCTTGTCTTGTTTGTGCTTTTTCTATTTGGGCTGTTGTAATCTTACTATGCTTTACCTAGTATAGAGTTGGACTATCAGTGAAAACAATTATACTATACGACCTAATATAGAATTATGTAGGTTTTTATCTCATAGAGCCTTAGAGGAAGTGATTTCTATTGAACATTCCACATCTTTGTCTCTCGAAGCTTCTGATTGTTTTAAAGTTAGAGAGTTAGAGAAAAATTGGGTCGAACTTACAAAAGACAGGAAAAGTTAGATTTACTATTACTGTTTTTAAATATTAATAATATATTAAAGCTTATTATATATTATAGATTTTCGTCAAGAGATTTGGTATAAAACCCACATCGATATATCGAGAAGTAAGTTTTATTTTTTCTTATTAAAAGATACAATTAATCAAATGCTTATTATAAACTAATTATGTCATAATTTTTTTTTCTAGGAGAAGAGATTACTCTCTTAAAATACCTTGCTGAGCATTTGAAACATATAAAAAGAGTTTGAGATAGAAACAGACATAGAAGACGAGGACATTAACCAAGAACAATAATGCCTCTTGTCGACAGATCACACTGGATCGAATTGCTCTCTCTAATACAGAAGAATTAAGTGTCACAAAGAAAGAAATTATAGTTCAAGCACCTGTGCATTATTTCAAGAAGAAGTGCATTATTTCAAAATAGATATTTAGAGCTGGCTCCTGAAGCTTTTGTATCTTACATCACAGATGAACTTATCAACAAACGCGTCTGCGGCCCTTTCTGGATAGAAGACCCACCTTGTAATCTGTTTTAGGTTAACCCTTGCGGCCTTGTCGAAAAGAAAGATACGAACCCCAAAAAATACTGGGTTATTTCATCTTCTCCCGAAGACAGCATAAATGATAGAATTGACAAACTCGAGTTCGCTATGAAATACAAAAATGTAAACCACGCCATACGTTGGATTAATTATTTTGGCAATAGATACGACATCAGATCAAATTAGAGGTTGGAACCGATTTTATTTATACAATTCGGGTTTAATTTCTTAACTTACAGCTATTATTATAATTCCTGGAACACCTATAAAAATTTGCCCGAATGATTTTTCTGCTGATCCGGTTAAGTTATTGATTTAGATAATCCGTATAATAAAATAATTAATTATCATTTTACGATTGTCATAACAATAATGTCAAACTAGCAAAACTGAATCAACTCAGATTGTTGTTATTAATAATCCTGTTCATATAAAAAACATGTTAATTAACAAAGTAGCAGTGCAATATTGTCATGGAGTGTTGGCAATTGAGCAATGTAGATTTGTTTAATCATAACGATAACGATAATGAACATTAAACTTGTATTTTTTATCGCTTTAACAGATATGATGATTATTGTGTTTTTGTTCTTCAGTATTTTGTTAACGGCATATCTGAAGCCGGTTTTAACTACATATTGAAGCCAAACCAATGAGCTGCAGCTTAAGCTATAGCTTGGAGTTGCAACCTAACTATGGCTCAGCATTAGCTACAACTGAATCGTTCTTTTAAAGTTATAGTTCCATACTAAAGCTACAACTTGTGTCATTGCTAGAGCATGACTTGAGCTATAGCTCAAGCTGTAGTAGATAATACCAATACAGTATGCATAAAATATTATTACATAGCTACAATAATAATGAAGTTTTAAAGCAATATAGTATTTAGCCATACAAGTGTTAACAACTCTAAAAAGCTTTAATAGGCTAAAACTCTTTATCATATAAATTTCATAATATTTCAATTAAGTATCTTCGGAACTTTTCTTATTTAATCAATTAAGCATTATCAATCAATATATTAATTAATTTCTCGTTTAAATTTTTATTCATGTTGATTTGAGATTCTCTCAAGCACATAAATCAATAGGTCATAGTTTAATTTTTAATTGGTAGAAGGTAGTTTAACCGGTAAGTAGGTTCATTATTGCGATGAAAAAAAAAAATTGAAACTATCTTTTTTTGTCATAGACTTGTTCTGATTGATTATCTACATTCACTTTATAAATCTTTAGCAAAATTACAGTAAGGCTCACTTTAATTAATCGTAGCACTATCAGTGATTGTTGCTCAATTCCCAAAAGTTATTTTCCCACCAACTCATTTCCCGACATCATAATGCCGACATGCTATTTTATCTAAAGCACATTTTTTCGATAAGATATATATTTGACATTACATTTTTTCAACAATCCTTTTCTTAGACAAGACATTTCCCCGACAATCATTTCGTCAACATAAAATTGGCCTGATCTAGCATTAGGGTTGGCTTGATTTAGAGCTAATGTCAGTTAAAAATATATGTCAGAAAAATAATTGTCAGGAAAATATCTTGTCTAAGAGAAGAATTGTAAAAACTATATAATATCAAATATATATCTTATCGAAAAAGTATGCTATAGATAAAATAGCATGTTGAAATAACTTTCAGGAATCGTACTGCAGTCATCTCAGTAGCTAGCTAATTACATTGAAAGTACTTTTAGCTCTAATTTTAGTGATTATTTATTGGTCTAATTGGTACAAGTATTTTAATATGAGCTGTTCATATAGTCTGGTTTTATTAAAGCCAAATAATTTGGGGTTTATTAAATTCGATTTTTCAGATTTATTACAGTAAATTCGATAAATCCGGTCTTATTAAATTCATTAAATTTGATAAATCCAGGTTTATTACAGCTGTTTTTATAAATTCTGTGACAACTGATAAAAATTGTTTTGGCCTAATTCGATAAGTTTTTGAATTCGGTGTTATCGGCATTGAAATTTGGTATTACAGCAAATGTTAATAACACCGAATTCAAGAATTCGGCCAAATGATCATCGGGCAATTTTTATCATTGTCCCAGAATTTATAAGAATAGCTGTAAAGGGTTTTGTAATTTACCGCTATAGCAATGAATCGCCAGAGTGATCAACCAATTAGACGAATCACGTGTTAATATAATTCGAATATGATACTTAATATACATATTCAGAAAATTATAAAACTAACATGAACATTTATTTAAATAAAACGCCCAACCCTAATCCTATCTAAAAGAAGCTCAGCACAATCGAACACTTCCAAGCCGTTTATCCTAACCCTATCTATTATAAAAGAAGCTTAACAAAATGAAAATTCACAAATTCATCTAAAAACACAATCAAACACTTCCAAGCCATTCACCCTAACACTATCTAAAAGAAGATCAACAAACGAAAATCTACAAACTTATCTAAAAACACAATTGAACCTAACCCTATACTAAATTCTAATCCTATCTAAAAATAGCTCAACAAAACAAACTTATCTAAAAACCAAATGCGACAGTTCTAAAATGAACAATGCAAACGGAGTAATATACCACAAAGACGAATCAAAGTTATCTAAAAACTAAATGTGACGGTCCTAAAATAAACAATACAAATGGAGTAATATACTACAAAAAAAACAAACCTAAAGAAAGATTCAAATACCGCGACCTAAAAATAAAGACTCCAAAAATGACAACTCCAAAGTGGCAAAATGAACAAAGGCTACAAAAATCAAAGCAAAAGTTAAACAACAAAAAATTTGCATGTAACACTCAAACTGACAACAGCTTCTCCAAAAAAGTACCAAAACGACAATACACCGAAATTTATAACGAGACTCAAAAACAGTGACTCCAAATCGACACCAAAAACAACATGGTGTCTCTGAAGAAAACACAAAAACGACAAAAATGATGACACACCAAAATTCACAACAACAGACTCCAAAAGTAAGATGCGATAAACTGCATATATGATAAATTATTAAATACTTTATTAAATTCGAATATCAAATATTCGAATTAGGTTGAAATTCAAATGCAAAAGATCAGTTCCAACCTCAAGATCAAATATTATCACAGAACTTTTCCCAAATCCAATTCCCTGTAAGATCAAGAACAATATATATGAATGCAAACTGATCTTAATATCTAGATATAAAGATTATTTATATAGGTATAATAAAATCAAAATTGTAAGCATCTTTACTTCCTACCCTTAAGGTCAAATTAGTTTGCATTGAAATTATTATAAAAAATCGATATGAACTTAATCACCATTTCAGTGAATATATTATATGATTAAGATTGAATTAGTTGTATTAAAATTATTGTGATTTCTTTATTAATTACTTTAAAAATTCTGTTACCGAATTACTCACTTAATTATAGATCAAATATTATCATATAACTTCCCCAAATCCATTTCTCCATAAGGTCAAAAATAATATATATGAATACAAACCAATCACAATATGTAGATATATTATGGTTGTTGGAATAGAGATAAGTTTGTAATAGAATTTTTTACAATAGAGATTATAATGATTTTAATGTGAATGTATGATCATGATTATTTAATCGCTCAATAAATTACCAAAATGAATATGAAGTTTAGTTCTGTTCACTTTAATGATTGTTTTAAGACAATGTATTATTAATAATAATAATTTTATCATTTAATAAATTATTATGTGAGTATGAAGTTTAATTCTGTTATCTTAATATTTGTTTACAAGACAATGTATAATTAACCATAATCATTAATCATACCAGTGAGTGAATATGAAGTTTAATTCTGTTCATTTTAATAATTATATTAAAAGGAAGTATGATTAACTATAATCTGTTTATTTTGATAATTATATTTTAACAGAAAGTATGATTAACCTCTCAAAACTGATATACATGGTTTACAAGTTTGTATCGGTTATCAGGTTTTGAGAAACATCACGTAATTGGTCAATATAAACAGGCCAATTAAATCACAAATTTTATTATATTTATGAATCCAAATTAGGATTATTTGAACTCATATTGAATTCGAATGAACTCAGAATAGAATAGTTTGAACCTGGGTTGGGTTTAAATAAACTCAGAATAGAATAATTTGAACCTGGGTTGGGTTTAAACAAACCCAGAATGAGATTATTTAAACTTGGGTTGGTTCAAATAACCCGGAATAAAATCATTTTGGTTCAAATAAACCAAAAACAAGCATAAATTCTACTAGAAACTCAAATATTAGGACTATTGGACACTAGGGTGTTAATAAACTAATTAATCAAAACATAGTTAGAGTCATTAAGTTCAGATTTTTTAAAGAGTTAGTTTACATATAAATTTATATATGAATTTGTACTGATTTAGGTATATTTTTCTACACAACAGACAAAATATACCATATTTTTTTTTAAACTGTAGCTCTAGACTAGCTCTACATTGTAATAGAACCGGTTTTTTTAATAACCTATGTTAATTATTAATAAAAATTAATCCAAAATTTTATTAAAAGTTATTAAAAAACTCAGTTTTATTATAGTGTAGAGCTAGTCTAGAACTACAGTTTCAAAAAAAACATATACAATTTTGTTTATTAGTTGTGTAGAAAAATGTACCTGAATTAGTACAAATTTATATGTGAAATAACGCTTTAAAAAATCTGAAATTAATGATCATCATATATGACCCTAACTAAGCTTTGATCAATTAGTTTATTGAACACCCTAATCGGACATTATAAATAGCATATTATTAGAAATTAAATATAGAATGGGCTTGGTGAATCAATTTTTGATCGATTATAGCAGGTTATCAGTTTTGACAGGATTGGTTTTGAAAAGATCAACTATATAATCATTTAATTGTTTATTAATTATCAGAGGGAGTATGAAGTTTAATTCTATTTACTAATATTTATGTTTCAATGATATATAAATACAGTATCTGTAATTATTTAACTATTCAATAAATTACTAGAGTAAGTTTGAAGTTCAATTCTGTTCACTTTAGCAATTGTATTTCGAAAAAATGTATATATAGTTAACTATAATTATTTAATCATTCAATAGATTATCAATATAAATAAGTTTAATTCTATTCACTTTAATATTTTTGTTTTAAGAGTACTGTGTATGTATTAGTATGGTTAACTATAAATAATTATTTGGGCTAGGTGCTGCAAATAGAGTAAGAGGTACAGTGACTCAGAGCATACTCATGGGGGCATGCCCTCGGGCATGCATAAAGCATACCTTTGAACCAAAAGACATGCCTAGCCATCTAATTATCTATTCATAATCATGTGTTATACAATGCTCTAATTGGCTATTATTAAATACACATACATATGTACAGTACATATCACTTTCAAGGTTTAAAGAACAAAATCGTTTATATTCTAAAGATCAAAGCATATCTAGGGTTTACTAGTAAACACATATAAATCTGAAGCAAAAGAAACTTGTAACTCTGGCATACAAATTGAGGTATAATACTTGCTATATTTAACAGATTTCTTTAAGTAGGTTTTAGAGTTTCAAATTCATACATCTGATTGGACAGCATGCTATTTACTTATAGTAGTATTTTATATAAAGGGGCATGCCTGGACACAATAAGAAGGGCATGCCTCAGCCAAGAGCATGCCCCTATAGGCATGCCAAAATAATTTTGTGTGCCCCCTACCCTAGCTGCAAAAAGGGATAAAATTGACAATTTTTTTAAAAGATGTTTTTTTACATAAATCAATTTAAAATAAAATTAGAATCATTTTTCACTTAAGACACAAAAGTAGTTGTGTTAATAAAATTTTGCATTATAGCTTAAAGTTTGTATTTTTTTATGATTTATTATCCTTTAAATTATAACAGGCAAATTTGCCTGTGAAGATTTTTACTAATTTTTTTAATATTTAAATTTTTTAATAAAATTTTGAATATTAAT